TCTACCTAACGAAAAAAAAAATGTAAAGTATCGTTTTTGACTGAAAACTTCTGGCGAAATGTCACGATAATGGATGGACTGGTGACAAGTCTAATAAGAATGCAGTCAAGCACCTGATAGACATCAATGCAGTGTGCGCAGTGGAGTACTTGAGGACCAGACTAAAAATATTTTTCAATGGTGTGTCATTTGTGTGCATCTCGTGGATGTGTGGTTGTGTGTGCTGCATGTGAGTACTTTTCAGTGACGATCGTGAGCACATTATGATTTAGTCGCTTATTGCCGGGATGAGACCCATCAGTGCGAGATTTTAATCATGGAATTTAATAAGAGTATGGTTGGAATAATTGGTAATAGAGTTTGAGTTTGTCACAACGGACAGAAAAGATAAATCAGCATGCGTTTGCAAGGTATGTTGGCGGGATATTTCTATTGCATACGGTGGCCATAGATCATTGTGTGTAAAAACATGATACGAACTCGAAACTCAACATCGATAGCATGCATCTCCAAAAAAATATGCGCACATGTTATTGATTTTATTATTTATTTGACTTCAACAAACAAATACAGACATTAAAACAAAATTAATTTTAAAAAAAAGAATTTTTTTTTTTGTTTTAATTTTTTTTTATTTTTTTTTAAATTATCTTTTGGCCTACAGTACATTATTATTCACAACAAGAAGGGTATGCACATGTATGTGTACATGTAAACCATGTACCTGTACTCGATGTTGGTAAAGCTTTCGATAAAACGAGAAGTTGAAAATGACCGCGCGGGTTGATTACTAATTGGGATTTTGAAATGTTGGCAGCTATGTTTAATGACATGAAAGTCATTTTCGTGCTATGCAAATGCCTCACAGATTTGCTTGCACACACGTACTATTGCGCACAATACACGTAAGTTTTTCACTTGGTTTCTTGTGTTGTCCGCACAGTGCTATGTACACCTGAACGGAGACTGGTACAGAAATGTCAATTCAAAAGTTAAACTGTGCCAAAATGACGGATTGTAAACATGTGGACTATTGTGCTAAGAGTCAGTTGGCACATATAGAATTTTGGTTCACTCACACTGAATTACTAAGCAGAATTTCTCCTGTGTAATGTACTCCGACTCTTCAAATAGAGTTTTTAGTAAGGGACTAAATATGTGCTTGGCTGGTGTTAAACAAGTACTTTAAAACCAGCTAGGTGCCTGGACAAGGATAATGGCCTTTGCCTAGCCAGGCGTGCAACTTTTCCTCGACTCCGGTGATATCCTCTGTTTTTACTTCTCATGAATGCCATTACAAATTGAAAAACACTGTACCAAGTCTTGTGTGGTTTGGAATTTCCTCGTTTTTTCAAAATTCCCAGTTGCATGCCTGCTATATAGCCGGTTTGAATCATACATGTACTTGTTTAATACCGGACAAGCACATATTTATTCCCATTCATAAATACCCCTTGGTTAAAGTCAAAACAAGTCAAAATTTCACAAATTTCCAATGATTTTGTTCAACAATTTTAATTCATCAAATTAGGTTTTGCCCTTCACCGACGTTTAAACACTGTATACACTGTTTAAACAACTGTAAAGTTGGAAAAATCACTCAGGTGGGACTCAAACCAACGACCTCCTGCTTTCTAGTGCAGATGTTTTACCGTTCGACCACCGAGCTTAACGGGATCGGTTGGCTGGTTCGAATCTGATGTACATAGCAGCGGGTACCGCATAAACTATTTTAAGATGGAATTTTGCGTACATCAGATTCGAACCAGCCAACCGATACTGTTAGCTCGGTGGTCGAGCGGTAAGAAATCTGCACTAGAAAGCAGGTCGTGGGTTCGAGTCCCACCCGAGTGATTTTTCCAACTTTCACTCGGGAGGTAACACACTGAGTATACAGTGTTTAAACGTCGGTGAAGGGCAAAACCTAATTTGACTTATATCATCCCGACACAAATTCCATCTTAAAATAATTTTAATTCATGTTTTGTGAGATGCACCCCTCTGGCCATGTCTATGGTATGTGCCTCGCGCGCGTTGTGCTTAAAATCTTATATGGAAATTGATGCACGTCGTGCTGCGTGCTGGGCGTACTGCGTGATGTGGCGCAGAATGCAGGAATTGCCAGTGTTGTATCAGTGGTATAAAAACCACCCACATTACGGGTTCTTGACCAATTAGAATGGGTAAACTGTATCAGGTATTTATGAAGTGATTTTTATTATACGTGTACAAACAAGACAAGTATTAAATACAGGCAGAGTCTATTCTATTTTTGTAGATCAAAACAAGTTTATTACAACTTTGAACTTTTTATATTTTCAACAATCAGTACTACTCAAGACTGAGATGAAGAATTACAAGTAGTGACTTCTTATTGGTATTTGTATTTTTTTTACAGTAGTTTTGGACTAGTTTAATAACTTAAAAGAGTTAATGGGCATTGCATCTTTTCAGCATAAATTGGTACAAATAGTTTAATTTTTATATTAAAACTTTGAAGTGATTTATTATAAACTTGCTTTATTTAGCAACTTTTTCAAATTTCATTTAATCAAGCAATTTAATTTTTTTATAGCTCATATTTTTATGTAGCATGCTTTATCTGAAATGACAATGAAACAGGAAACCCGTCAACCTTTCTTTCAAAATTGCAATTCTATGAAAAGTGCAACAGAAATGCATTTCAGAGAGTCTTTTCAAAACTGCGCGCAAGCGTTGATACGATGCACATGCGCGGTTGCAATAATTTGTAAATCGGCTGAATGAGAGCATGTCCCGGACGCTGATTTCGGGCGCAATTCAAAACATGACTCCGCAACTTTGGTATTGAAATCGAGATCCTAGAAAATTGTTTTCTCGGAATACACAGCTTTAACCGGGCTAAAATTTCATCAGGCTAGTTGTTAAGCACCCTTCTTTAGATTTTGAGCACTTTTGTTGTCCCCCAAAAAAACTGCACAAATGACAGATGATGAACTCTACCTTTAAATTCTGTAATGCAAACACAGGCATTTTGTGTTGGCCCATAAAAAAAAAACACTGTGGAACCTGTGTTGCCAGAATGGTGGATTGAAAATGAATATTACTTTGACTTCGCCTATTGCTCTGTGCAGTTTTGCTTGCTTATGCTACTACCAGTGCTCTATAGGCATTCATTAGTCTTCCTTCCGAAACTCAGACGGCCTCATTAAAAAAAATACCAGCTCAAAAATGTAATTTTAATATTTATTTGATATTAATGTCACCATTGCACAATTTGGCACCTGACAATATTTTTTTGACTTCGATCAGCAAGTGTAAGATGCTATATTTTATAAGCAAGACGCTATATAAGCAGGACAGTATATGTGTGTATAATTCCATTAGTAATTATATGCTTAGTTGTATTCATAACTTGAGGTTATTCGGGTATTATTGTACTCAGATATTGCAATAACATTGATTATATCAGGGAAACTAGGTAAATATAGTCTCATATTATTTTCATTTAGAAGTGCTTCATGAAAACATAAAAAAACTAACTATGCCAAAATGGTCATTCTATGCTGAAGAAAAACCAAAAAACCACAGCAAACTGCCTTGAGTACATGCATGCTTATCAAGTGCTTTTCATTGCAGAAAAAAATTAGATAAATGATTTTTTTTCATGGATGGTCTATGAAGCGAAAACTGATCTGCAGAATAAATTGAAGTATATTTTGTAATCCAACTTTGATTTTTACAACTTCCACTCTTTGAAAAATTCAGCCATTAACACACATTTTGAAGAAAAGCTGTTGTTTTTTCCCCAAGCCCAAGTTGAATTTTGCATTCTGTCCATAAACCAAGCACATACCCTGCTTCAAAAACGTGAACCAAATTAGATGACCAAGTCCAACGGAAGTAGCCTTATAACACAAACTCATGCAGAAAAGCTGTCATATTGTGTAGAAATTTATAGGTATGTACCAAGTGCAAACAAACAAAATATCCAGAAAACATATCTATAATTTCATTGCCAGTAAAGCCTCTGATTGAACACACTTGTTATAACATATATAATTATATCTATAAAAACAAATTTGCAAATTATCACTGTAATGAGTTGTAAGACATCATGTCATTTTCAAAGCAATGTAATGCAGCAACGCATGGCACAAATGCATAAATATAAACTATTCAAACTTTAAAACAATTAATATTTCAATGTGGTGTAATTTCAAATGTTACACAGCATCAATGTATTATGAACATGGGTAGCAGTAGTAGCAGAGGCTATGTTTATATTCTTTGATAAGCCAAATTTAATTATTGTCCATGATCGACTACATGTGTGGTATTGAAAATTACCAAGTGGTTGACCACAAAGTTTGTTCAATATGCTGAAAATAACCCATTTGCAACGGGCATGCACCACACAGTCAAGACATTTAGTACTTCGTTGTGCTTAAAAGCGTTTCCACTAAAAATCCCAACTTTTGCTCAAGTATGGATATTTGTGAACTACAATGGATAATGTGGTAATTGGGAGTGTCATTTTAAAAAGACTTGCCGAAAGCAATATTTGTTTAATACCATGCCACAAAAGTCTACAGGAAATGAAGTATAAGGGTTTATGCCATGGATAGGCTGGTGCTTGAGTGATCGTCACCCACTTCAAAATGATCCCCAATAGGCCCACTGGGAACCAGACATACGGGCACTACAACCCCCCCCCCCCCCCCCATCCCCCCTATGGGGAGTGTGGCCTAGTGGTTACGGTTCGTGACTCATGATCGGGGGTTCGAATCCAGCTGCTGGTCATGCGTTGTGTCCTTGTGCAAGCCACTTCACCCCCACTTGCCTCTCTCCACCCAGGAGTACGGTACTAGCTGGGGAGTAACCTGCAATGGACTAGCATCCCGTCCAGGTGGAATAGAAATATTCTCAGTCGTTTCATGCTACTGAAACCGGAGATGAACGCTGGCCTAATGGGCCCCATTGGCTTATGTCAGACAGTCAGACGTTAGGTTTTTTCACACCCCCCCCCCCCCCCCCCACCACAGGCTGCTTAATGTCATGTAGTACTGCTGATAACCTGCCATCAGACATGTCAGAGAGCAGCGAAGGCAAAGTTACATCGGCAGTTGGTCATGCTACGCACTGTGCTCCATGTATCACTGTAAGGGTCGTATCTTTCCATCAGGTCAAGGTAGGTCGAGCCCGAGTGACCACCAGCAGCGTAGAGCATACCATCTAATACTGCTACACCCAGACCTGCGGTTGAAAGAGAACACGAGGCAAGCTTGAAAATGACTGTTCCACTGTACTACCGTAATTACGGGCTCGTAGGAAACAACACAAACTGGGACAGAAAGAGCGCCACCTGGAGGCACTCAGGTGCAAGGTGGTGATTTGTTTTTCACTGGACATTAAAGATTACGACCCCCAAGGACAATTTTCTTGTCACTTTTACCAGAGAAAACTTAATCAATTTTTTTACAAATATTCCCCTCCTCCCAAACCAAACCCTTAAAATGGTTGCCAATCTCTGGGCCCAGGTCTAAATGTAGCCCTCCACGTCTATGCGAACTAGTAGTTGATTTGTGATACGCCTACGCACCAATAACAGCGTGCGAAAGCCTCTATTCAAAACGCTGGTCAAAACATCATCGTGGTGAACTTCTCATTCCTTGCTCTTCAATTTCATTGAGCCAACCAGAGTACATGTAGTCTGACCATCATGCATTCGAGCGAAGTGAGACGAACTACATGTACTCTGGTTATCCATAGTCCTCGCCTAAACTTTTCCCATGTTGTACCGGTAGTTGTAAAATACCGCAAAGTTTAGCTCCTCTATTACCAAATATGCAACAGTGCCAATCACTCGCGTTGCTAGTGTCACTACACTCAAACCTGCATGCTGTTTAAATGTGTACAATAAATTTCAAAATGTCAAATTTCTAATGGATGTTGGCTGGTTTTGCCTACCTCCGTTCAAATAGACCATTTGCATTAGGGGTGTCTCAAAGGCATTCTTTGTTGTTTTATTTAGTTGCAATTCACAATTAGTAACACAAGGATTATTAATTAAAAATGCCTATCCTAGCAACACACAACCATTGCTCTCTACATGTACATGTAACTCTGCCTTGACGCATATGGTCTATTATAGTAGTAGTAACATTTATTTCAATGATGTCATTCATTACAATTATGTACAAACATGTATACATTAGAAAAAAGTCACTAGTATAATATTTGATAGATATGTACACAGTGATTAATTATCAAGTGTGAAATTAAATGACAACATTTAGGTATAAGGTTAAGCAGAACGCTTTTGTGCCCTTACCTACGGACAAACATACGACCAAAGGACAAACAAAACAATACGTGAGACAGACAGGACAAGCGTGAGACAAGGCCTAAATATAGGTTTTCCTGGACAATTTCGGAAAATGTGCGTTTGAATTTGTAAAACATAAATTCAATTTGGCGGTGATTTTGAGAACGACGTACATCCTGGTTTCATTTTCACAATAACTAGCATTTGATTTCATTTTGCATCATTCAAATGAATGAATGTGCATAACGTTTCATTTAAGGGATTACAAATACGTGATTAGGTTTTCGGTTTGATGTAGGCCTATGCGTTGCCGATTATTACGAATGTGCAATCCAATTCGCAGAAATTCGATTGTCTATTGTGACACAGGCTGAATTTAACATTCTTTTTCATTTGTTACAATTTAAATTCGCATTTTCTGCATTCAATTTAAATAAATTATACAGGCCTATACATGATACAACTTTGATTCATTAATTAATGATTCATTAATTAATCAATGTATGCCTTATTGATCATTAATGTGTTTGTTCTTATATACACAAAGACCTATTAAATCAGAGGGTAGTCAAATCAACACCTCAGGATCAGTTATATTGCACCTCTCGCCCTCAAGCCATGACGTATTTGTACACTATCACTGACCTGTCCTGGTTGTGTTCATGGACGCCACCGTCGTCCACGTTCCTTGCGTAGGGTTGTACTGTTCCACACTGCTCAAATGCCGCTCCCCGTTGTGCCCTCCTACCACGTAGATGAAGCCATGGATCACCCCAACGCCAAAGTTGATTCGTTTGTCGGCCATGGGGGCCACCATCTCCCATTTGTCGGAGTCTGGGTCGTACCGCTCAACGCTGCAAAAGAGGACAGAAAAATAACCCATTAGGCCAAAAATCCATGTTTCCGTCACGCATTAAGCATAGTGCGTACTGTGTGATGCTTAAAAAGCAAAGCGTATACGTCCATGTATCCGTATTACGCACTGCGCTATCGGTACTGTATTAAGGGAATAAATGTGTGCTCATCAGGAGGTTTTAATCACACTGTTTAAGACCACTTGGAGTCTGGGTGCTTGGAGTCTGGGTGCTTGGAGTCTGGGTGCTTGGAGTCTGGGTGCTTGGAGTCTGGGTGCTGATAATTACCCGAGCCAAAAATCAGGGTAATTATCAGCACCCAGACTCCAAGCGGTCTTAAACAGAGTGATTAATACCGACCAAGCACGTATTTATTCCCATTTATAAATACCTTTTCGGTCAAATGTTTTTAAACTTTTCGGTGACAAAACCCGATCGTGTTCAACAAGTTAACTTCATGTTTTTCAAAACACCCCTCTAGCTAAATAATGGAGTGTCCAGCTGGCGAGTAAGATGTAAACAACTCCTTTTATGGAGATTGATGCGCGCGTACTGCGCGATGTCGTGCAGAATGCACCTGGGACGTTGCGTTGTGAAGTTAGGACTATAAAATTCTGACTCACTGGTACTATTGCGCATGCCTACATGAGGATTGTGAACAATCAACCAATAAAACGGTAAGAGGCACTGGATTTTTAGGAATCCAAATTTCATGTGACACTGGAAAAGTGTTTAAGACCAGCCAGCCATGTCTTTATCATCCGTTTAAGACCGGCCACGTGACGGGCTCTCGACCAACAGGAATGGGTAAACTGTATTAGGTATTTATGAATATCCATTAAAATCGTATACGCTTCCTCAAAGAGCATACTTTAAAAACCTACCTATTAAGATAGTTGGGTCCGTATCCTCCTATGGCATACAGTTTCCCATCCACCACCGCTGCGTTGAAGATACTCCTACTCTTGATCATGGGTGCCACATTCTTCCACTGGTTGGTCTTGGGATCGTAGCACTCCACGCTGCGTAGGTACAACTGTCCCGTGTATCCCCCCAGCGCGTAGACCTTCCCGCTCAGGATGGCGATGCCGTGATTGCTTCTGCTCGTCTGCATTTCGGCAACTTTCGTCCATGTGTTTGTGGCAGGGGTCCAGCACTCGGTACCGTTATCATGACGGCGGTTCATGGAGCCGTTGCGAAGCTCAGACACTATCCCGCCGGTCATGTATAGTGTTTGCTGGACAACCACGGCTGCGCATTCCTGCCGCCGGCAGCTGAGTGGTGCCACCTCAGACCAGGTGTCAGTGTTCAGATTGTAGACCTCAACACTGTATATGGAATACCACAAATATTTAAGAAATGGTTAAAGACTTCCTACTAGTGACCAAAATGAACAGTGTACATGAAACACAAATGCAAAACGGGTCACTCTATACATTTAGGGTCCAAAGTGTTCCAGTCCCTAATACATATACATGTACCTTGGTACTTTGTAATTTGCCAATAAGAATGCTGCAAAAGATTTTCTATTTGTTGTGTGCCGGTAGGTAGTTAGCTTTTCATTACCACTCTTGGAGGATGAAGTGCATTCAGAATTATAAACTAGAAAGCCTGCTAGGGTGAGACTCCAACCCACAACCTCCAGGTGTATTACCGGTACTTGAGACATTATTACTTAGTACTACTGGACTTCCGAGCTCACAAAGATCAATTGGTAGCTTTTAAAACATTTGATGGTTTCATAACATGGTTTCAAAAAATGTACCTAGGGTTGATTCGACTACATGTATGGTCATAATTTATTTAGCTATTAAAACTAGTTCATAATACAACCGCAAAATTGTGGATTTCAACACTTTGTTTTGCGGTACCGGTAGTACATGTACATGTACGTCTGCAATGAAATCAGGACTGTACTATCCAATTACTATTTTATTACATGTGGCTTAACCCTCCTTCTGTTTAAACAGTCTCAGACGGGCGAAAATTCCATCCACTTCCCCTGCTATGCATTTTTAATACACAGGCTAGTCACAAACAGTCAGATCACGTATCAAGCAAGCACTCTGACTAGTCAAATTCAGTCAACAGACAAAAGCAGGCAACTAATGGCACAGCTGTCTTATCAATGACCTACAGTCAAAGCATAACTGTATCAAGTTACATGTACATAAACAGTCATAGCCAGTCAACGACTGAAAGGACAACTTGGCACAGAATCTATGTTTACATACCGGCTGACCGGTAGGAAGGTTAATGCCCAAAAATTTATTATTTAAAAGTACAAAGAATTGCCTTTGTTTTCAGCACAGATTTAAATTTGCCCCAAAATGTAATTAGTTACTTACAAAATGTACATGTACGTACATTCCAATACTGTTTTATACTGTACCAGTACAACAAATTTTATTCTGCATATATACATGTACATGTAGCTAAGTATATGTACATCTTCATGTAGTAAATGTATCAATTTGAGCTTCCATGTACCGGTACATGTAATCGGCTAAAGACGTCAGAAACTCAGAATATTTACCATTTCTGAAACAGATGGAGACACATTTGTAGGCCTATAGATACCGGTATCTGTACATACATTTATGTATGTAGAGTAGTTAAGCTTTCATTAGTATGCAAACATGTTTTTGCACTCATGAATGAATATTTACATGTAAACCCTCTTTTCTATTAAAGGTAACGGAAAGATTTCCATATACAAAGTTCACTAATTTTCCTCTGTATTGACTAACAAGCCCCCAGATAGCAATTTCATGTCATCAAAGTCAATTTGAGCAGTGAGAAAATACAAGCATTTTCTTAGAAAACACTTAGAATTTTTCAGTCCAATCTCATAGGGTTTGTACACAGGGTGTTGAGTGAACTTCGTATATGGAAATCTTTCCAAGGTAACATGTACTGTACAACATTTGCAAACCTCAAAAAACAAAACTACATTTACCAAATCATTATGCAATACACAATGTACCGGTACCTTACTTGACTGTGTAAGTGAATAATAGTCTCAAGCATCCTGTGAAATCATAGCACCTGGTGTGCTGTCATTTTCAAGAAAAGGGGAAGTTTATATCAATTTCCAATGATGGTCGGCCGACCATCATTGGAAAAAAGTTTTTTCAAATACTGCCCCCAATTTACCAAATTTAGTTAATCCACATTTTGTTTGCAATCAGTTACACATCCGTGAATGGGTGCAAGCCAGCTAGTCTAGTTCTCTGACCTGACAATTCCCCAAAGTCTATAAATTCCTCTGTTTCGTCTGAAGTAGGGTCAGGGAACCAGATTACAAGAACAGCATTTTTTTTCTTGGTTTTTCCAGCATCTATGAACACAAAACTTTGAAACAGGTCAGTGTACATGTAATAATATCTGCTATGAAATACTAATCCCAAAATACATCCATTTCTGAAAATCACAGCAAACGCAAATGTTGTACCGGTATATTACCTTTAAAACAAATTCTACCCATAGGCTATGATGATGTCCGTGTGCCAAATATAACTTGCAAAGTTGTGTCAATATTATTGCCAACGGTTCTGCATTAGAGTTGTTTTATTTACACAAGATTGATGCTATGAAACTCTCTAGCCCAAACATGCTGCTGGGAAACATTTTACTTGTGAAAAAAAATAAATAAATAACAAATTCCTTACTCATAAATCTAAGGCAGCAATGGCGTATGAGACAAAGGACCCTGATTTAAAGGGAAAATACAACATTTGCAAACATCGAAAAATAAAACTACCAAGTTGTTACAAAATACCTTACTAGGATGTTGGTAAATGACAGTCTAAAGCATCCTGTAAAATAAGGGCACCTGGTGTCAAGTCATTTTCAAGAAAAATTGTACTTTTTTACACATTTCCAACGGTGGAAAACCTAACTGTTTTTCAACTACTGATCCAAATTTACCGGGTTTTTTTTTTCAGTCCTAATTTTGTTTGCTATTGGTTGCACATGAACGGGTGCAGGCCAGCTAGACTGGTTCCCTTACCTTACAATTTTCTGACATTTTTGATCCATTTCATCTTTAGTGGAGTCAGGGAACCAGACTACTTGAACATTTTTGTTTTTCTTGGTTAAATTCCAACATTTTCGAACACAAAACTTCAAACATATCAGTGTAACAATATTTGATCTATTATACTAACCCCCCAAATAGTTCATTTCTGAAAATTACAGCGAAAGCCAATAGACTGAAAGCCAATAGACATTCCCTTTAAACTGAAAATTTAATATCACACCAATAAATACAATTTGAAAAAGGTGTGCAAAAAAAATTAAAAATATGGGGACACAATAAGTACATGTTCATAAATTTACAAAGTAATCTCTGCAAAGATTGTTCGTTGATCACTTATGAATGATCACTTCCCTTCCGAGTCTTTCTAAATTATGAAAAAATCCTCTGAATAACATGACTCTCCTAACAGTATACATTTACATAATATGAGAATATGGACCTGGCAAAAAAATGGAAAATTTATGAAATTTTCCAAACTGCAAGCATCACAGCCTCAAATTTGGCATGTTTGGTAGGCCTATCAAATGAAAGGGGAAAACAAGACCCTTGATTTGAGTGATGTGGTAGTGAGATGGAGTATGGTTAAGTAGATTTTTTTTGGTAAAAAAAAACAAGATTTTGTGGCTAAAATTCTGGAATTTAGGTAGCAATTTTGGCACCTTGTTTTGACATGCAAAATGCAAGTCTGGGTTTTTGTTTTAAGGAAGAGAGAAAGGTTCATATATTATGCTAAAAGAGTTATTTTGTTTGATTTTCAGTTTCTTAAATGTTTTATATTGTATCAAAGATGGGTTTGTGAGTTAACTTAAATTAGTTACCAAAATATATCCCTCAAGATATTTTGTGAATAATTTGAAATGTTGGCATATGACTTACACTTTAATGATGTAAAGGTACTACAAAGATGTCCCCCCCCCCATCAGTGCAGTGTGTGGACATTTTCAAATGCAAGATATGTAAATTTTTGTGTTGTCCTTTTCTTGTAATGTGAGTAACGTGAGTTACTGATGAAAAACATATTGCCAAACCAACATCATTTATCTTGTTGGCATTTTAAAAAAATAGTTAAGTCACCTAATTTCAAGGGATCTTCTGTGAGAAAAATCCACCCTCAGTGCTTTGACTTTATAGACTAACAATATAGAGTTGACAGAAGACCCCCTCCAAATGTAACGTGAGTTATCATGGAATTGCCCACATGTGTATATTTACTTACAGTCAAGCTTTCCATACGTCACCATCACCACGAACTGCACGCGGGCGTATTTACAGAACCGTGATATTTTGGGATTCATGAACTAACATCCTCTACAGTGCAGCACTTTTAGAGCGCACCCGTGCATTTTCGGTTTCACAAACTGACACTGATCTTAATTTTTGCCAATTGAAACACTTTTTATTTAAAAAATTTGTATAATCACACAAGTACACGGATCTATAGATTAAATTCATGTCAAACCTTTCAAAATGTTTTTCTCCGTTCTGTATTGCCGCATCATACTTCGGTGTCAGTTTGTTAAAAAAGAAAATATACGGGGTGCGCTCTAAGAGTGCCGCACTGTAGAGGATGTCAGTTCGTGAAACCCAAAATATCCCGGTTCTGTAAATACGCGCGCGTGCAGCGCACTCACGCGTGAGTGTCACGTGGTGACGGTGACAAATTGATATTGCACATGTACATGCATGTATGTGAATATGTAACATGTCCAAAAATAAATGTTCATCCTGCAAGCAGGGCATTGGAGTGAAAATTGATTTTGTTACCAAAATAAAATTTCAATCAATTAATGTAAGTTTAATTCTCAATTTACGTTCTTGGCTTTCGCTTGGCTCTTTCTCAAAATAACAAACCAGGCGCAAGATTGCTGTGGATATTTTATTTACATGTACTTGTGCTCGGTCCAAGCAGTGCCACGGTGAACATGTTTTTTTGAGGGTATATTTTTATAGCTCTGCATATCAAATTATTACGACCTCTGAAAAAGTCCCTGCACAGGGAATTGTTCGATCTTCATGATTAATTAATGCGTGACTCCAAGCGTTCAGCGAACCATTAGCGCCTGCCGTACTCCCATGACTGTAAATAATTCCTTTTATTGCCCTCCTTGAAAACACAATTGCTAAATTGCCGTGACTGCTATTTTTAGCCGGTTATTTGTGGCAGAGATGCCTTTGGCGGACAAGGCTATTAGCAGTATATGGCGGCATTCACTGCCGAGGGTATTTGCATGCTTTGGCTTTCGGCTCTGCAGATACTGAATAATAACACGGGGTGTGGCACCTCTCTGACAAGCTTACATGAGCAGTGTAAAAATGATTTTGTACCAAGGCGTGGTTTCGCTACCAGTTTAGTTGTCCTTCTCGGGCAGGGTCTAAAATTAGGTTTTGGGTGTCAAGAGGATTTGTTTAATATATTTTTTTAAAAAGTTTAAACGATTGTAATTTTTTTTAAAGAATGAAAAAAATATGCAATGCAACTGAAATTCTATTCTTCAGGAAGTTGAGTTAAAATCTGGGCTGGGGAAGCTTTCCGCCCCCCCCCCCCCAATCTCCCATAGAACAACATGTTCATGGTGGTTCAATTTTTAGTTCACTTACACTTAGCCTTGAAGTGTTAATTTTCAAAAAAAACCTATATACAATGTATGGGTACAGCACTGTATAATGTACATTCTACATAAAAGAAATATTACTGACAAAAATATATGAAACAGCAAGAAAAATATGGAAACGTGTGGTTTTCCGGAAATGGAGTTTTGTAATTTGTTTCATAATTTCAGGTACATGTACTTACATGTAAATACATGTGCACAGTTTAACATGTTTAAGGCAGAGTACAATGTACATACAGTAGCTTTATCGTCAATCGTCCTGTAAATTTTGATTCCTCTTTAACCCTCCTGCTATTTAAACAGCCACAGACAAACAGCATTTTCATCCACTTCCCCTGCTATACTTTTAACACAGACTAGTCACCAGGAGTCAGATGATATGTCAAGCAAGCACTGTGACTAGTCAAACTCAGTCAACGGACCACGAACAGACAAAGCAGGTAACTTGTGGGCACAGCTGGCTAAATCAATTACCGGCAACTACGGTCAAAGCAAAGTTGTATCAAGTTACATGAGGCCGTCATCAATCCTGCTTTATGTGGGCTGGGAATTCTCAACTGTTGAAAACAGTCACTTGATTGATTTTGACTGAAAGGACAACTTGCCACAGAATATATGTTTGCATAACAATTAATGTACTTTTGTATGGCGATATTATTATTATTATTTTTATTTATTCGGCCAAGATTTGCAACAAACATATGCAGAGAATATATGACAATGTAACTCTACAGGAGACAAGAGCACACGTATAAAGAAGTCATGAAACAATACAAACAAGTGTAAACAAAAGCAAGGAGGTATGAATAAAGGCAGCCTACCGGTACCATCACATTTGGATAGTAGAAAAACAGTCAATAGTCATGCCTACAGTAAACCATTGGGGTGGCTGGGAATCAATGTTTAAAGGGAATGAACATCATTGGCTTTTGCTTTAATTTCCAGAAATGAACTATTTGAGGGATAAGTATAATAAATAAAATTATTGTTGCACTGACATGTTTGAAGTTTTGTGTTCGAAAATGCTGGAAAAGCCAAGAAAAACAAAAATGTTCAAGTGGTCTGGTTCCCTGGCTCCACTGAAAAGTAGGGATCAATTTATAGATGCAGGAAAATTGTACGGTACTGGAACCAGTCTAGCTGGCCTGCCCCCATTCATGAACATGCAACCAATAGCAAACAAAATTTGGACTGAAAAAAAAAATGGTAAATTTGGAGCAGCCTTTGAAAAATAGTCAGGTTTTTCCAACGGTGGTCGGCCGACCACCGTTGGAAATGTAAACAGAAATACCATTTACTTGAAAATGACTTCACACCAGGTGCCATAATTTTACAGGGTACTTGAGACTGTCATTTACCAACATCCTGTAAGAGCCTTTGTAAAAACTTGGTAGTTTTATTTTTTGATGCTTGCAAATGTTGTATTCTCCCTTTAACCTCCCTTCACTTTAATCAGATGATTTTAAACTGTTTACCATACATGAAATATGTACATATCTCAATAAACAAATATGGAAATGCTTCACCTTGTACTCATTTTATGCAGAAACTCATGAGTGCACGCCACTACATGTTAATGGAAGAATTTGACAATCTGCAGGAGAGATGTTGTGACAGCTACATGTCAAAACAGAAATGTGCCACTTTGTTTTGTCTTTAGAACAGTTTTTGTGTCTAAAATGTCACCATTTGGGCATCCTTACATGACCAAGATAATCCACAGAAAAAAAAAATTAAACTGATGAAAATTCACTGAAGATGATCTATGTGACCAGCAAAACAGCGTTCGGGCAAATTTTCCATGAGAAAGTGGACACAGCTGAAAATGGAAAATTTATGAAATGTCACATTCACAGCCTCAAATGTGGTATCGTTAATTAACCCTAACGTCCTAGCCATTACTTTGGGATATAGAACCAAGTACTACAGAGTACTGTATGAGTGTTGTGCCGGTACATGTACATGTATGCGTAAGGTACATTGTATTTAAATTTTTTGCCATGTCCTTTTCTTGTAATCTGAGAACATGTGGACCGATGAAAAAGTTATTGCCAAACCAACAGACGTTTAGGCCCTATATTGTTGGCCTTTTTTTGTAGTTTTGTCACTTCCATGTACTTTCAAATTCAAGGGATATTCTATGAGAAAAATCCACCCTAAATGCTTTGAATTTATAGAGTAACAGCGCAGATTTGACAGAAGACCCCCTCTTAAGTTAATGTAAGGCGAGTTACCAATGGAATTGCCCTTTTGAAAAGCTGGGTTTTTTTTCATGCATGGCAAGTTTCTCACAATACACAGTGGCAATATAAATACACAACTTTTTTTTCTTTATCAATCTGAACTGACCTATACCCTGGCCATTTGTTGTCATATCAATGGCATCTTTCTAAATTTAGACTCAAGTGTCAACAATGTTTGGCTGGGAAAAGAAAAACCTGCACTGCTGCTCCCATCGGAGTGGCAGCGTCTACTGATAAAACAGGACAGAAAAACAACAGATGATAGTAAACTAGAGCTCTACACTGGTTCAATTCAATAACATACTGCACTGCACAGAAAAATTATGTAGTACATTAGTACGTTAGTCAACTCTCAATGTTATGTTTATTTTACAGAAGAATTCAAAGTGCTTTCTGCACAGTTCAAGAACTGTAGGCCTATCATTGGAGTTCTTGTACTTGCACAAAGGCAAACCTTGAATACTCTAATTTAGCTATTATATTCGCTGGCAAATATGTCCCAAAACTTACTTTTGGAAATTGCCACAAAAATTATTTTAGGGGTCTTTTTTTTATTCAAGTTTTATCCCATTGCTGGCAAATATGTCCCAAAACTTACTTTTGGAAACTGCCACAAAAATTATTTTAGGGGTCTTTTTTTTATTCAAGTTTTATCCCAAAAAACAGTTCCTTTTGTAAATGGCTGTTTTTCTAGTATTAATACAAAAGTTATTCACTTTTGAAAGAGACACGGACTGAAAAAGTCGGCCCATAGTTATTGAATTATTACTCTACGTGCTCTTCAACAAATTGATGTTTTTCTCTCAATAGATTTTCAACTTGTATGTTTTATTACGACAACCAAAAACCCTGCTTTTTTCTTTTTTGTAAACTACTAGGTAGACTTACCTATCTAGCGTAGCAAACAGCCCATTCTTGCCTCCCATTGCACACAGTAGTCCCTTCTCCCCTCTGGACTTGACTCGCGAGCCCATCTTCCGAGCCACGTGCAACCTCTCCTCAGGCCTAAGGTGGTACCTCAGTGCCCTGTTGACCTGCTCCTGACACGAGGGATTGTCTCTGATGAAGGGGTTGGCCTCGTACAGCCCGGTCAGAGTCTTTAAGGTCAAGAGCGGCAGTCGGACACAGTGTAAGAGTTTGCCCATGTAGCAGCTCCGCTTGTTGGGGTCGTAGCGGACCCAGCTGTCCAGGGCGTTGAAGACTGCCTCCTCGGAGCCGATCATCAGATCGTCCTGGCTCAGGATGCTGGCCAGGTCACCGTGATCCAACTGCAGGAACTCCTCGCTGGTGCTGAGCTCCTCAAAGTGCCGGGCGATGAAGCACTGCGCGGTGCGGTGGAGCTCGGTGCAGGCGTGGGTGTCGGCGAAGCACGAGATGCCAATGCAATTTGTGGCGTGAAGGTGGGCCTGCAATAAGCACGTTGTGAAAAATTCATCCATTGTTCATTGGAACTTGAATACGGGAAAACTCTTCTGATTTTGTGATTTCCAAATCGTCTATACATGTAATATACATATAGTGTCAGAAAAACCATGTCCTACTTTTGAGTGAAAAATAACTCTGTTGTTTACCAATGGAATTTTATGGAGCGAGTTTCATCAGCTTTGTGCAAGAGGGTGCGATTTAAACGACATACGAAAAAGTTCAGTTTTCGAATCTGCCACTTTCGACTTTGCATCTTTACAAGCACTTGAGACGGTAGCAGGAGGCGCTTGCTAAGGATGAAAGCTTCTGACGGAATGCAGGATCACCCCTGGTGTAATTGCACACCCCCTCAATCATTTGGCGCAACACACGATCGAGGGGGTGTGCAATGACATCAGGGATGATCCTGCATTCCTTCAGAAGCTTTCGGCCCCCGCACACACCTTCCGCCACTGTCTCCAGCGCTGTATCAACATTCTGAAAGTGAATATTTTTTCTGTAGGAAGATTCGTCTTCAAACAAATTTACCAAAATGTGGCTTACACATGTGTTTTGCATTTTGTGGTGTATGGTACAAGGCCAGACAAGTGCACAAACGATGCAAAAGAAGATCAGGCCAACTTAACTCACTCTTTAACCAGCAAATTTCTCCTAAACTGTTACTGGGTAAAAGAAAACTTCCTCAGTATTTCACCAACCAAGTTTGAAGACTCAATGCAATTTTTAAAGGAGACTTTTCTTCGATATTTGGCAGTGGCTTGCACAAGAGAGGGAAGTCAAGTGATTTAAAAATGAGGCTAAAGACTAGACTTCTACATGTCCATCCATGGTCCAACTATTTGACAAGACTGACTTCTTCATATGTGTCACGATTCATTGTCAATAGTCTGGTACCTGACTAAGGAGAAATATATGTAGAAATAATGACCTAGCACCCGATATCCTAGATATTTCTTTTGGCACAGTCAGCTGACAGTTGATTGATGCAGCACTGAAACGGTGTTGGACTGGTTGTTTCATGTGCCAGTTTATTTTCTTGTGTTGCAGGTTTTCAGTACCTCAAGTTTTGGGACTCTCCTACACAGTATTGCGAGTCCCAAATTTTTGGACTAGTACAAGGCCATGAATGAACGGTAAAAGAGTGTTTTCCTGTAAACCGCTAGTTAAAGCATGGAGCTATAAACACAGCTCCAAGGTTAAAGAAACTAAAAAGAGATGCTTAACTGATGATTTTTATTACCTCAAGAAAGTCACAGCATATCTTGATGACAGGTTTGAGTTGTAGCAGACTGGCAGCCGATAGTAAGGTCTGGACATTGGCATGGGTCACGTGAACCTTCCCCGTGTAGGCAAACTCCACCAGCGTTTGGAGGGCTGTCTCGTCCACAGACTTCAGCTCGATCTCTTCCTTTTCCCTCTCGCACAGGGAGCCAGTGAACATGGCCCGGAAGTACTGGCTGCAGCTGGCCAGCACGGCACGGTGGGCAGGCACTTTACACATGCCTACCTTCAGGACCACATCGCAGAGCTCGCCCTGCTTACGGAGCTGGTTCAGAGACTGGAGAATCTGGGTGGCGTGCAGAGGCATTTCCGTCAGTCCGTTGTCGGGACCCTCTCCAGAATGAATGTTGTCCATATTGCGGTGATCAGTTCAAAGTACCGGAACCTGTCGAGCAAATATGGAGCAAATTTGGGATCAAAATTACAACATCTGATTATGTTATTGCAATGCGTACATGCAACTTTGAAGAGACCATACTGAATAAATGCTTTTTTTGCAAAGTAAAAAACTATGAAAAGCAAATCCTCCATTTTACATTCACCAGAGGAATTTTGCAGGAAAGAATGTAGTTTCCAGACGCCACTTCTTTGGTTGTCATGGCTGTGTACAAAGTCAATGCTATATGCTATGGAGAGTTGAACTTGAAAGCACTTTCAAAGTATTTTCCAACAAAATTGGAAATGTTTTTCAGTCCCAGATTCATGTCTTTTCAACATTTTGCAATTAGGCTACTGACAGATGATCATGATGTAATTTGAGTAACTAGGACTCTACGAATCGCCTTTTTTAACATTTGACATGATCGACCATGTCCAAATCAAATGTTAAAAAAGTTACTCGGACTAATCATGATGTATGATGAAAAAAAGTGGCGTCAGGATGCAACATTCTTTCCCTATAAGTATAAACATCTATCGCCAGATCGCTAGCTAGTAGTAGAAAATCGCTATTGTCAATCATGCATGAAAGAAGATGCGGAAATGTGCAATGAAAATGATCATGATGATCATGAAGTGATGAACATGATGAACAAACTCAACAATTAGTCACTGACATGACAATCACCTAAAAGTCACTCAGCTGACGTAAAAAGTGAAATTCCGAAAATTATTTGTGAAATTCGATGTTCCATTTCGCAAATTCCATCACACGACAGTCCAAAAACTACCGGTACGTCAATCCGTCCCCCGACAACTCGACAACAAGCGTCTTCCGCTACTTGTTGGGAAATCATCTGCGCTGCTGATGCTGCGGTCTAGCGAATAGGAAAAAACAAACAAAATACCAAAAATGCTACAAGTGCGGTTCCCAGACGAAACCCATAATAATCATCATTCAATCTGTCGGGGACCCTATTTCTTAAAGTTGTTTAAGTCGGTTTTTTTTCTTTCGTTTCTTCACTTGTTGTTTCATGGTTTGGATTATATGCTTGGATTAATTTTCTCAGAGACCTCCCCACTACTTCAGACATACATGTACAGCATACTTGATGCAGCAAATGATCCTTTCACTTTAAAGCACTTTGAATCCAAAGCCAACGATGAATGAAAAACCCGACTAAAACAAGTTTATTACCCAGCAAGTGAAGAGTGGATCACGAGAGGGCGCTCGTTCGAGCCCTTGGACTACATGGGTGCACCCTGTATTAAAATTCCCATAGACAGCAACGATAATGCCCACTATACAATTCTTTTAAAAATACTCAGAACTCTCACAGGTGATCAGAATCTACAGAAATAAGATGATGAACATGTCATCTTTCATTTTCTTTTCAATTGTGGGTGGGTTGACAATTGACTTTTTGAGATATTCTCACCCAAAATAGAACACCCCTTAAACGAATGACGTTTCCCAAACTGGAAAAGTATAGCCATTTTGAAAAAGAATAAATAGCGCCACTTTCGGGCCCGATTGTATCCAAAATGCTCAGAATTGGAAGCCCCAAGTCCAGGCCAGAGGTTCAGTGCCACGTGTCTTCAATTCCCCAATTCCATGGCTCTCATAACTCTCTAATATAGAATATTTTGAGGGTATAACTTTTATTCATGAGCTCAGCGGATGGATTTTGGCCTATGTGCACCCATACGGCTCTGCCCAATTGGAACATTGTTGAACATTAATTTTTTGAACATTTCTGTCTTTGAAGTTATCAAATAACCAGTGAACAGCAGAAGAAACAGGGGAAAAGACAAAACGTAGCGGTACCTCATCTGGATCCGCTACTGTTTAGCTCAAATTGCTGTCATTTTTGGCTTATAGCCACTTGAAGAACAATAAGATTGGTGAATTATATTTACTGCCAAACAAGGTCACTCAGAATGAAAAAGAAATAATCGAGCGCAAAACACGCGCTAAAAAGTTTGGAAGGTCAAGGTTTCGAGGTCCGCGAATGTATAATTCCCGTGAGTAGATCATAAAATAAACGAAAATGTTCAAAATATTAACAATGAGCGCGCACTTTACATTGTGGCATATTTTTTTTTGCATGTGCAATCTGTGACCATGTGACAAGTTAAACTTGAACCATAGGGGGCCGGGTTGAAATTTGCATTTGAATTTGATATAATAGTTGGAAATAACATGAATCTAGCTTTATCGTGATATGTAAAAAAAAAAAAAATATGCCTGTTGCATATTTCCGACTAAACCCCATCAAGGTCCTCAACGATACCTTGTCCATTGCGACAGGGGCATGTCACTGTCTCTTCTGAATAATACAAAACCACATGCCAGGGCCGGTGTCATATGAACATCTGACTCGTATGAAAATCGGACCCTTTTTGTCTTTTATTGGTTAAACCCTCTCATGTGACCGGTCCCTCTCCTAATTATCTATGCGTGAGCATGCGCAATACCACCAATGAGTCCGTATTTCCTAAATTCATGCTACACCGGCGGGCACAGGAAAGGTTGGAGGCCCAAATTAACCGTTAAAAAAGGCCTGATTTATATAAGGAAATAAAATGTGCTTTGGAGGGTTGGTTAAACGCTGTGTTTAAAGACTGGTTGGAGTCTGGAATGCTGATAATAATTACCCAAGGCGAAGCTTGAGACTTGTTCTATTTGTCAAATAAATGAATTGGTAAATCAGAAGGATCAGCAGTTCACTAAAGATACCTAAAATTCACGTTCTGGGATAAGGCCTATAAATTATGTAGTAACTCAGGGTAGTATTTTGGGGTGTAGCCTTCAAGGGGAGGCCTTAAAGGCGTAGGCTAGGCCCGATAGGCTCGGCCCGCTCCCAGCTGCCAAAAGCTACCACAACTGCCTCCTTTTTACCCCAACTAACGTCACTAGCTCGCTGGGATAAACGTGTACCATTATAAAGTTGTCAAGAATAACATCGAGGCAGGGACGACGTCGAGGACATGTTAGATCATTGTGCTAATATCATTAGAGCTTGGTGGTTTATTTGAACAATTTGTAATAAAAAGCCGTATCCTCTCTGAGTGATCCCCGTTTGCCGTTTCCCAGGTGTGTACATCATGCTAATAATGTTGCTAGCAGCCTGGCTTTCAGCGTGATCCCTGGCTACATGGGAACCATACGGGTGTATGGCTTCTGAGTTCTGACTAGGACCCCTTGAACAAAGACATTGACAAAATGGGAGAACCATTGAAGATAGGGCTGGATAGCTCAGTTGGTAGAGCACCGAAACGGCAATCCGGAGGTCGCATGTTCAAACCCTGCGCTCCAATCAATTTCTTTGTTCAACTTTGAACAAAAATTATTATTATGCATTTAGTCAGTTTCCCTTTGTGGTTTATTTAGAATAAAAAAAAACTGCTTAGACCAAGAGCTGGAGAAGTCACCCAAGCTTTGCTATCGAGATGACACCGTTATTGTCCACCGTATCAGCCGTAACCATGGTGCGGGGAAGCTTACGGAAGCCTTGGCCAAACAGTATTACGTCATCCGCTTACAGGCTACTGCCACTGGCGGAATAAAGTCAACATTCAGTCAGAGGCTTGATTTATCGATTTTGTATGATAAAAATAAATATTTAAAATCTCAGCTGTCATTCTCCTCCAAACGTACATCTACATGCCAACGCGTCACTAAACTCATTACAGCTATCGACTTCAGAATATCGTGTTTCTTTCTTTCCAGGTCAGACGATGTTATCAGATACCAATTGCATTTTTGGTCCGTGCGTGCGAGATTATCTCGGATGAGAAACTTCTCCGACACAGCCGGGTCATATCCGTGCTCGCAACACATCACTTCATGCTTTTCACAGAGTGTACGCTAGTACTTAGACCTCTGTTCCTTGCTCTATGTGTAGCCTCGCCTTGCAGGAGCAAGTCTTAAGTCACTGATTGTCCTATTGTTACCAAGACTAAACAGGACTGCAAAGCTCACTGAAAAGCTATAGGCGAATAAGATGTGAATATCTCCTTCTAAAGGTTCGCAATGGAATCTCCCACTAAAAGGAAAGTATAGTACGTGTACGTGTATAGGCACTTTCAGCAAACGTCAATCGGATACAAAAGGATTTGAGTCCTGTTTGGTTGAAGGATTTAACATGGGCAACAACAAACGGGATGATGAGGGAGGCAGTACCGGGACATTCAGGCGCAGAATCAGGGCCATGAAAACACGGTGTATGTTGTTCGGCCCATGCCGGAGGAAGACGATCGTGTTGGCCGTGCTCTGTGGGGTAGGGTTGTACCTCTTGCACGGTAAAGTGTCCCATTCCAAAGGGAACCCGGATGGAAGACAACGAAGATCGGAGGTAAGTTGGATTCTAAGTATGAAGATGAAGAATGAATCCCTGTATGCCCTAGTTTTGTGGCTAAGCTGCCGAAATTTCTGATTGTGACCCCTTGAAATTCCTTGAAAAGAAACTGACTCATGTCGCTCCAAATCTCTTCCGACACTCGATTCCTTATTGATAATTTCACCCAGGGCGGTATATTCGGCTTTCTGGATGCATTCCGTGCCGATGAATCCGCCGGTAGCGCTAGCAAGCATCACCCCAGGATCCACGGGGCAGTCTACAAGGAGGTGACCGGTAACTTCGAGCCTCCCCGGGAACCGAGCCGTCACGGCCTGGGGGAGCACGGCGCCTCGCTCACCCTTGAGGATTGGGAGAAAGCAGCCGTGGACAAGAGCGTGCGGGAGTACTCGCTCAACTTGTACGGCAGCAGCAAGATATCGGTGGACAGGTCGCTGCCCGATCTGAGGGATCCACAGTAAGTTACACACTGATCACTATCATATAATGACAATGCACATACATGTATTGTTTTAAAAACCTCCGAGACACAATGATACTGGGAAAAATTAACTCCATTCTATTTTCAAACTTGGAAATATATAGAAATACATTGCTAGCTAAGACTGGACCAGCCCGGACAGTAGCGTAACCGGGTTCCAAATTTGCAAGGGGGAACTTGGGCCTCAATTCAGTCAATGCGTTTGTATCAATAAATAACTCACTTTTGTCTTCCCAAAATTCTGGGTGTGGGAAGCACACACAAGGGGGTGGGGGCCTCGAGCGCCAGGGGGAGGCTGCCCCCGTCACTAGGAGCAGATTTCCTGTATATTGCAGGTTCAATTCTCGCTCCAACTAATTACTTTGTGCAATTAACCTTACACTGATCGTTTAACTGAGTCTGTTAATATAGTCAGTTGGTTATTTTATGATTTGGCTATTATTTTGATTTCGAATTAGATTTGTGTGAGGGAGGAGACGAATTTAATAGGGGGAAACAAAAAGTGGGGTTGGTTTTTATGTATATTTTGGTACTTTCGTGTCTAACACTTGAAGAGGCAAAAAGAGCGTTAATTTATTTCATAAACAGGAATCCGAGTTCACACTAAGTTGCTTTTCAAAAAAATAGAAGAAATATGATTGGCTTATTTTACAGGAATGTGAACTGTTTTCTTCTGCTATAGTGTTTAACTGTGAGTTTTGTTATTGTGGATAGTTTTGGAGTTTGAAATTGAATCCTACCAGGAAAATATGGGTTTTCACGGCACAACATCTGAACTTTACCAGTTGGCTGTAATCAAGTACTCGATTCGCTTCATGTCAATATGGGAATTTTATCGCGATCTTTGTTAATGATATTTCTCCTCCATTGTCTTAGATGTAAGCATTGGCACTACCCCGAGAATCTACCCCAAGTTAGTGTAGTCATCACCTTCCATAATGAGGGTTGGTCCACGCTGATACGTACCGTGCACAGCGTCATCAACAGGAGTCCTCCTTACCTCCTCAAGGAGATCATACTGGTCGATGACTTCAGTACAAAACGTGAGTAGTTGATTTATCTTAACACTGGTTTTCGTTTGCCATGTTTAATCAGAACTTTGCGATACCTTGTGAGATTAAATCACGAGCTTGCATGGGTGGGACGCAAGCTCAGGCTCGTTGGGCTTACTGTTGCAAACTGCGGCAGTCGACCGCAGCGGCTTGCTGGGGTCGACTGACCAGTTTGGATGTGATCGACAGGAGCTTTTGTAGGATCGTCAGGTGATTGTGTCAGCAAGTTGCGCTCCATGAACAAAGAACTCCACTCTATTTGCCATTTTTTTCATGCAAAGTGTTCTCCAAGGATCTTAGTTTCATTTCCGAGATGTTGTATCATGCGATATTGAGACACTCTGGCAACGAACGACGGTTATCAAAGCTGTAATCCAAAGCAATGTAGCGTGCCCGCTTGTGAAGTATCCAAATGAGACTATAGTACTGGTTCATAGGTATAGATAACTTAAATAATATCTAGACGGCTATATGAATATGACAAGTGATAGGTGCTGGTAAACAACAGTCCCACAGCATGAACATAATATAATTAATTTATTTGATTATTGATGTTCGATTCGGCATCTTAAACTCTTGACTTAAACTAAGGCAGACTGGCAGAGGTTAGCCGGTAAAACTTGGTCTTGGGAAAAGTAACAAGAGGAAAATGTCTAGAGAGGTTGAGACTGTTCGCAGTGGACTTCAAACGGGAAGACTAACCATCCTCTTGATGTATTTAACCACCCCACCCCACAATAAGAATCAGTAGGGCCTACGTGTAAGTTGTACTTGGCGTTGCAAGGAGGGTCTTGTAACATGTGCCTCCATATTCATTCTCAGGTTCCATTTCCATAAAAGAAAGCCAAACGTTCTCCTAATATTATACACGAAAATCCACAAGGTCTGCAATCAAGGCCCCACCATGCCCGAACCAATCTGCAGGATGCCCCTTCTTCCAAGTAAAAAAAGATCCAAAGTATACCACCTGCTATTTTAAGTAAAACATTACTGTGTTCGGCAACACTGGTTCAACGATTATATGGAGCTGTAATTCTCTTCTCTTTGGACAGACTACCTTGCGAAGCAGCTGGATGACTACATCCGTACTCCCAGGCTTCGGGGAGTCGTGAAGCTACACCGTACCCGTCGACGGGAGGGAGTGATCGGGGCCCGTACCTTGGGCTTCGGCCGAGCCTCGGCTCCGGTCATTGTCTCCATGGATGCCCACTGCGAGGTGGGCACAAACTGGCTGGCACCGCTCCTGTCCGTACTGGCTTCCAATCGGTGAGTTTGATTAAAAGGGCACAACGGGGGATCTTTTACCTTTTCTTGCATTTATTTCCGTTTGAAGCAACAAAATTGCTTTCAAAAATCTTGACGTTTAGGATGCATGGACCTTACTCACGAGGAAGTCATTTTTGTCGTGTTCCCTGAATGTATTTGATAAATTGTGAACTGTTGAATGGTATGGTGCCAGACTATTTTAGCATTTGCATATGCATTTTAGCCTCACTTTCATATTTGAAAAAAAAACAGAAAAAACATTACGGTATGTTTAATAACAAATTTTAAATTATTCATCGGAGCAGACTGGTATATTAATCTGTAATTTACTTTATGTCATTGCTTTCATTTCTCTTCGAAAGTTCTAAAAATGAAGATTTTACCTCACTTTCAATTTAATATGGCCGACTCGTGAATAAGGCCCGGCCCATCATAACCTGTTGAAGATCGGCTCAGTGGATAAAAAGGGGAACCTTTATGCACAATGTTTTAGTGTGGTTTCGACGTTTCATATTTTGAATTACACCTGGTCGTTTCTAATCAATAAATCAACACCTGGTTTTCAGTACAGAAGTGCACTGTCACGTGGAGGTCCCAGTGGATGGGTTATCCTCGCAGTATTTAACGAATACCGTGAAATAAAAAAAAGTTGCCCCTCATAACTGTTTTCCTCAGAACGACACATTTCAGGCGGAAATATTTCTGGGTTTCTTTTGATACTAAGCAAGGCTTTTCTCATTAAATCTGTAGGTTTGTTTCCGGGTAAATATCAATGTTCCTATACGTGCCTTTATTTAGTACCTCTGGGTTTCGATTAATATTTCTGAGGTATGGCTTCTTTTCTAACTGTGTGTCAACATTCGTTTTGTTTTTATTCAAGGTCTTATATCGCCGTACCGATAATCGATGTGATCGATAATATGGATTATCGGCTGTACCCACAAGGGGACGGCAGGCTGGCCAGGGGAATGTTTGACTGGAGAATGGACTACAAACGGGTCCCGGGTCTACCGGACAGAGAGAGGAAAGACCGCCGCTATAAAACGGAGCCCTACAGGTATCGCATAATTTAAAAAAGTCCCAAACAAGAACGAAACAATTTTAGAATCCAGTGGGGGCCGGGACTTGCTCCTGGTAAATGATAGGAGAGACCCCAAATGGCAGATCTACACTAAATCTCAACCCCTCACATTTGGTCATAAAAAACCCACGTGTTATAATCGGGGCTGCTGACAGAAACTCGAGGAACAAAACCCCCATATACATATCTCCTTCCCGTATAATCATGCGGGAGAAATTCATTTTATCGAATTAAAATCTTTTACCCAAGGCCAATTTCAAAAACTCAGCAAAAGGCTTAATTCAAGTCTAACTATACTTTGAGTTTGACAAAGATGATATCAAACGCCATTTAAATTTTACCTATCTGCTTGCATTCTTTAGTCTTTTTCAGGCGTTTTTTGGGGGGTTGTTAATCTTTTACTACTATACGTAAGTTAAAGCATCAGTTTATGAAACAATAAACGGAACACATTTATTCATAATTCCTCAATTAACGAATATTTGTTGCATGTGCTCTCTCGGCCTATAGGTCTCCAGTGTTTTCAGGGACCGTCTTTGTAATGTACAAATCCTACTTCTTCGAACTCGGTGGCTATGACCCTGGCCTCAAAATGTACGGCGGTGAAAACTACGAACTTTCATTCAAGGTGAGAGGAATTATAGACCCGAAATTTGAGTTTGGGCTAAAGCCCTATAACCAATGTCTGTCGTGTATACGTATTGGGTCTGGTTCACGACACTAAAATGCCACCCATTACTCACTTTGACAGTTTCTTGTAAGTATATTGAAGGAGTGCCGTATATCGTGGCATTTTGATTCATTGATTTTTAATGCCGGGGGATTATGACATCAGTGGAGATAGTGGACCCAAGAATGAAATATTTCAGTTCATGACACCGGCAACCACATGATACATAATGTAGGGCCTACACATTCAATGTGCATGACTTTTACACTATAAAATCTATAACCTAATTTTCTCATCCCATAGCTTAATTTAAAGGGCCCATGACGTGAATTTTACTTGGGAACATATTTTGCGCAACATTCTACTCCTCTTAAATGGATGAAAAATGTTTGACATCCCTATTTGGTTAATTTTATTGTAATGTGCACCTGTTTAAGCATTTAGAAATGTAATGCTTTTCCTGACAAATATGAGGGCGATGTTGCTGTGGTGTCATTTCAGGAAGACACTGTTCAATTTAGGGGTTTTCAGTTCAAATTGTGCACCCAAAATTTGCTCACTGAAAACATTTGTGGGAAAACTTTGCTCATTGGCTTACTGTCATGTACTGAAGCAACAACGAATCACCAAAGAAAAAAAGAAATACAAATTATAGACTCGCAGCAAAATATTCAAATATCTGGCATTTTTTGGTGCTGAAATAGCTGTAACATTAAGGTTTCTGCATGAAATGACATCACACTTTTGCTCATGAATATGGAAATGAGCATAAAAACCATATAAAGGCATCAAAATACCCTGAAAAGTGGAACAACTGAAAATTGAAAATAAGGATAAATGGGACACAGAGGTACATTTTCAAGGATTACATTAAAAAAATATTACATGGGCCCTTAGGCCAAAAAAAAAAGTCTCCGGTTTCTGGTATGGAGCCTGCCCAAAAAGTGGTGCGGCGACGCGGCTTTTTTTTTTTTACCTGATTTTTTTTGCTTCAAATGTCGGCTGATGACTGCAAATGGTGCCCGACTAAACTTAGTGCAAATATATGGGAGTTCAGAGAGGCCACATAAAGCTTATTCTCGACCATAACCCAATCTAAAAACACGTTAAAATTGTGCAGCAGCAGGATTCCAGTTAAGCCAGTGAGTTTGGCGGTTTTGAGACATCATCTTTCATTGAAAAAAAAACTTTTTCATTTTGCTGACGCGCATGGCTACTGCGACGCGCGCGCATACCAGAAACCGGAGACTTTTTTTGGCCTTAAAGTTGTAATACACTCTTTTCTAGAGACACTGGCATCTGTGGCGTGTTTAGGCATATGGCTTTATACATTTTGAAGTACCAGACTCTTTAGAGAGGTGTTTGGCCAATAAATGAATCCGTTTGACTCGTTTTTCAGGCCTGGATGTGTGGAGGAGGTAGCGTTTTATGGGTGCCATGCTCCCGCGTCGGTCACATCTACCGTGTAAACGGCGTCCCTCCGTACTCGTTTCCCAGAGATACCTTTAGCAACTACAGGGATAGGGTAAGATCGAAGATTGCTGACATTCATGAAAACAAATACCACTTTTCACTCTCGTGTTTTATAACTTATACTTTTGGTTTCGAAATACGGCCAAGATGTAGAAGACATGAAAATCTTGAAGACAAAGCAGATGACAAGTGATTCCGGAGCTAAAAAAAAACCTCAACCACAAAATGTTACTTTGCTTTGCCCAAATTTGACATTAAAATCGAGAGTAAATGTATAAACTTCACAAATACGAAGATTTCCCAACAAACGTTGTTTCTATACACCACCGATGACGCAAGCTAGACAAGGGAAAATTGAATCATAATTTCTTTAATTTGATTCAACATTCTACTCTCTTAATTCTTAAGAGTAAAAATTTACTCCATTCGGGTGAAGATACACTCCCACAGTCTGAAACTAGGGACTAGACGTTTTAGAGTGAAATTTCTTCAATCGTAAAGATCGAGGTTTCACTCGAGCTTCGACTGAAGTGGTTCATTTTTTCAGACTATGTCAATCGAAAATGAGAGTGATTTTCACTCTAAAACGTCTAGTCCCTAATTTCACTCTTTGGAATTTAGAGAGTAATTAATTAAGACATTTTAAGGTCGCGGCTTGTTTTTTTCCCTGTTATTATCTTGACTGGTAAAAATTTGCGTCTGATGCAGCATACAATGCTGTGGCAGAAATATGGCCTGTGATTATAAAGAACCAATAATAATATGTCATATACCATTGCCAAGCTGTACCTCACCAAAATCAGTGGTTTTTTTTAAAAACAGAATTACGCCCGAGTTGCCGAAGTGTGGCTCGACGACTACAAAGACTACTTGTACGCCAGCAGGCCTCACATGAGGGCGCCCTCGTTCAACATCGGCGACGTCGGCCGACAGGCCACGTTTCGGCGGGAAAAGAAATGCCATAATTTCGGCTGGTTTCTGAAGGAGGTTGCCTACGATCTGTTGAGTCACTTCCCTCATCCGCCAAAACTCGTGATGACAGGAGAGGTATAGGACACACACACAAGATTGAATAGGGTGTTAAAAACATTCTTATCTACATTATTATTCAAACTGGTCCTGGCCGCGAGGTTTTCTTCTGCAGCCAAGTTATTAAGTCAATAAGCATACGTGAAACATACCACGTGGAGTTCGAGTTCCACTCGTTTTTACTTTTTCTTTTTTCCCCAGAAGTGAATTTTCTTTTCTAAATTGTGTTTAATCGAGTCCTACTGATCGGATCGATGAAATAAATTTTACTTTTTTTCTGATTACTGGCTCTGGTGGATTTTTTTAAAGTAAAGTCCGTGAACCATTCAGTTACCAACTGACGCATGGTTGCAGAACAAAAATTGCGTCCTTGCCTTACCGCATAAGCCATAACTGACCAATGATTCAAGTTTCGAAAGGGAACAGAGACACAAAATCTTTCTCTTTCTTCACAAGTGCTGTCGGTTTTTCTGCTTGCACCGTCCTATTTCTGAAGGACGTGTCACAAAACTGGGGTTGGCCTACGGCACAGAATGCCTTCAGACGAGTGCACTGCCGTCTATGGGCCTTATTCACAACTTGGCCATTTTTGTCGAGTTCCCTGAACGTATTTCAAGTATTACCGGTTCAATGGGATGGTGCCAGACTATTTATGCAGGCACAATGCAGCATTATTTTACTGTCTCTTTTCTTAATCTGGCTTTAAACATCAGGGAATTTTCTAATTACAAATTTTAAAATTATCCATTGAAGCAGACTGGAATAAACTTGCTTTCATTTCTCTTCGCAAGTTCCAAACATTAAGATTTTACCCCACTTTCAATTCAATATGGCCGACTCCTGAATAAGGCCCATGCTGTCAAGCACGACATAGTGAACCATGAATTGTCTCCAGTCCAAGTTCTGAGCGCAGTCAGTCGCTGTTGCTTGACTTATTAGTTGGAATTCCACTGTTTCTTCCACTGAGCTATTGTCCCCATGGGAGTCAAGCCAGAAAAGAAATCACTCACATTAAATTCTAAATTCTTAAAAATCACAAAGTGGATCGATGCTGCGTATTGACGGCAGGCCATTAAACAAATATGGAAATTAAAGTTGATAACAATTTGTAAGCAGAAACATCACGATGTTATATTTTTTGCTATCGACAGGTTCGTGCGCTTGACACGGAGTTTTGTTTAGACACCATGAACCAGGTACCTGTGGGTGAAGGCGTCGAGCTTACTATGTATAAATGCCATGGCTCTGGCGGTAATCAGGTAAGGCACCAGACTTCAGCCTCAAAGAAAGGATTTGTGGATCGGGGCGACGGCAGGAATATTCCATTGCTTGAAACTGGGCCTTTAAAAATATACAATTTATTTCAGCTATTCTTGTTTTTGGTCTGTTAATATTATTATCATGTATGATCCAGAATGGCCCGATGGTACGTTTTCTGGTTGATAAGGTCTTTTCGTGGATTATTTCTCATTCAAGAAACCGTCAACACCTATCAAAATACTATACCCATTCTTTAAAAAACATCAAGTTACCCTAAACAGTATACGTTCTGGGCTTTAGCAACTACGAAGCTTCGCCTCGCCCGCTTTAATCACAGGTCCACAGCCATAGCAATGTACATAGCATAATCCCTTTTCTGCCTTATAGTATAGCGGTGAAGGATGATAAAGGTTCATAATAAAAAATCAATGGACTTCTTAATGTGCGTCTTAATTGTGGTATAAAAGAGAGTCTTCAATGTGGAGTGTTACACTGCTGTAGAGTAAAATTCTCACAGGGTGGATAAAAAAACACCGAAACCGAGATATTATTGCTAATTGGAACAGAAGTAGGGCACATGTGAATCAAAGGGAGATATCTTCTGTTAGGGTTGAATCTCCTCTTTAAAATGACACCCTGATCATGTCCTTACATTCACGGTTGACTGAGCAGTGACCCATTTTATAAAAGGTCTATTTAGAGAATTGCGCCAATTTTCATGGTGAAATCTCGTTTTTCCCCACCTGCCTTGATTGGCAACCATAGCCTTTTCACTCTGTGACAAATGACACCACAAAAACCACAATGGGTGGCGCAATTCTAAATAGATCCTTTCATAAAATTGGTCACTGCTCAGTCAACCGTGAATGTAATGACATGATCAGGGTGTCATTTTAAAGAGGAGATTCAACCCTAACAGAAGATATCTCCCTTTGATTCACGTGTGCCCTACTTCTGTTCCAATTAGCAATAATATCTCGGTTTCGTGTTTTTTTTATCCAGTATAGTCTACCACAAAAGGTATGACTTTCGTCAGAGCTCAGAACCCATTTTGTTAATCGAAAAAGGTACATAATTGGTATCTGGATAATCATGAAAACAAAATCTAAATAAATATTGAATTTGAATCTTTTCTTCTTCAGTTTTTCCGTCTGACCACCGCTGGTGATATTCGAGTCAATGAGTTTTGCTTGGGCCAGCGAGAACAGAGCGTGATGATCACGGCGTGTGACAGTCCTCACGTTATCAGGGATTGGCAGCACAGCCAGGTATAGGCATTGTTGTTTCATTACATCTCCAGTAATTGGACTTAATTGATTTCATTTAGATCTACTTCACTTTATTTCTGTAATAATAAAACTACAGACCTAGGACTCAGACTTGCCCGAATCATGTCTTCAGCAAAACTCATAGCAAGCCCGAAGCCTATACAATGGATAGCTAAACCTCATACCCGGAACTCAGGCACTAAAAAACCCAAAGCCGGTCATCCAAATGAGCCAATTTGGCTTTTAAGTAGTCCCAACAAAAATCTGAATCTCTGAACTTTACATATAATATATCATTACATGTAATGATACATACATCTACATGTATGTAGATTCGTAAACGAACAAGTTAAACTCGAATCATCAAAAGTGAAAGTGAATTCAATTCCTTGTCCATCACCCAATTCTCAAAAATAGTACAATTCTCGAAGTGCTGCTAACATGTCTTGTTCCTTCAACAGGAGAAGAGCATCCTGTGGAGCAGAAGACAGAACAGATGCCTGGAACGCTCTGGTCTGAAGATACTGCTGTCTGCGTGCCGTAAGAACTTTGACCCCCAACTATGGACGTTTGACGACCCCTTCTTATTGGACACCTTACAAGTAGCCTGATCTCCACTTTGTGCAAATGTATTGTTTGGCTGCTGTTGCAAAGGAAACATATTTACTTTGCATCTTTATATTTGATTGAAAAAGCTTGTTTCCGTTTGTTTGTGAAGCATGGTGGAAGCCACGAAACCTGATGAAGTGTCCTGGAGTTTTATCTTAATGCATTTATCAGTATATTTTGGCACAATTGGAATTGGGAAAGTCCGACTACACATCTTTTATCCGGTATATAATGACCTCGTCCGTAAAGATGTCAAGAGCGTTTTTACAACGCCTGAATAAATCCCCGTCATCTGATTGGTGGATTGTTGATCACGTGTACTTGAATTATTCGTCCCACCCAACGCACGGCGTGGCAACAACGTAAAATTAGAAGGTCCATTCCACGGTAAATAGAACTTCCATTGCACGGTCACGTCACACTATTGGTTGTGCAAAACACAACTCATGATGGCCCTGATGCCGTGAGTTTGTAAGTGTGGTATGACGAGGGTTTATTCATTCGTTTTATAAAAACAAATAATGAATGTTTCATAATCGTGCAACGGAAAGAATAGTTTCCTTCGGTGACGGATGAAGTCTTCCATTCCACTCGGCTTCGCGTCGCGTGGAGTGGCACATATTCCATCTGTCACCTCATGAAATTATTCTTACCATTGCACTCATAAACATTCATTAGTTGTATAGTATCATTGCATCTGTATCGTATGTCTGACGGGGGTCCATGATCTGAAGCAAAGATAGAGCCGACGAGTTAAAAGAGTTATAAAGTTCAAGGTCCACATGACCTGCTGGTGTTTCAAACGATTACAAGTCGTATTAATTTTATTGTACGTTCCTTGTATGTATATTCAGCTTTCAAGACGGTTTTAGAATTTAAGTTTTATTAATAACTTAAAAACCTACCGTTTTTATGTTGTAAATACTCATTGAGCCGTGTAAAGTAATGCATTCTAATTATTTTGTAGATTTTAAGTTCTGATTACAATGTATAAATAGTGCATTTATAGCGCAATAAAAATATGAACAGCTAAAGATATGTATATAATAATTATTTCCCCATTCAAAATATAACTTGAAAAACAACATTTTGATTTGCTATTTGCCATTTTCCCAAAGATTTGTTCGAGTAAAACTGTCCATTTGTAGATTTAAAGTTCTGATTACAATGTATAAATATTGCATTTACAGCGCAATAAAAATATGAACAGCTAAAGATATGTTTATTTACCCATTCAAAATATAACTTGAAAGACAACATTTTGATTTGCTAAATGCCATTTTCTAAAGATTTGTTCGAGTAAAACTGTCCATAAGTCATTTGTAGAATCCCACATTTTGATTAACTAATATATCACTGTGATGAAGAGCATTGTTGGCAGAATTGTACCTGAAAAGAAAAGACAAAACGAGGCTCCGCCGAGAAAAATGACCAAATAATGTCCCACGATGCATCTGCGTGGCAGTTGAGACCGTCCGAACAACAGTCGAGACAACGCCAACAATAAGATGGGATCCTCTCTTCTGTAGCTGGGACGATGCTGTTGAGGGGCCATGTGTTTACAATAGTAAAAGCAGCTTTCGGAGATGAGAAATGCCTATTTGAATCTGGGTCTTTCCGTACCGACGGATGACGGACATCTGGTGCCAAGAGGTAGTGAGTACACTCGATCAAGCTGTTAAGGAGGCTGATTATACTTGACTCTGTCCTGCACACTGTGGATGCAGATACACGGGTTGACATGGGTGATGTCCAAATAATAATTGCCATGCCAACGCCGTCCGCGCCCGCCAATCCGAGACGGCACTGATGTCGGCGGAAGTGATGACCCCTGCCGTGGTCTGCGGCGGAAGGACGGCGCACTCAAGGAACAGCTCCGGTAGTAGATACACGGCCACGCCCCTGAACAGATTCACGGCAAGCCATAGAGCGAGCAACGCTGCCAAACTCACCAGGAAGAAATTGGACGCGGAGTCCAACGCCTCATCCCAGTCGTCTGGTGCCTGGTTGGAGCCTCTCTTATTATCCCTCCAGCGATACCTGACTGGGTTTTGTCCACCATCGCCGCCGCGGGACGATGTCCTTCGCTTAGCCAGAACTGCTTTCAGTTTTTGGACTTTGCTGGCGAGCCTAGACAAGTCTTCTTTGAGCTTCTGTTTGGCGATTTTTTCTTCTCGGAGTAGGCCTAGTTCGCGGGGGCTGTCGGTCGACCTGCGACGTCGGCGAAGCATCTGTGGACAACAATCAATCAAAATCTCTCGTAAAATCGTTATGACAAAGAAAAGGGATTTTTCTTTTAAACCTCGGCAGGTTTACAAATTATCTGTTAATGTTGATAAAGCAAGTGGCTATTTTGATGCCCGCGCGTATACCCATCGTCCAATCAAAAAGGCACTTATGACCAATAATCTCGTTCACAAAATAGCGTTGTGGCTGATGATTGCGTACTTTTCGTATACTCATGCGTCAAAAGTTGACCCTGGGTTACAACATCCAGTGAGAGCCCGAAGACATTAGCGGTCAGCCATGTCCTAAATAGGGCGATGGGTACGAGGAATGCTTTGATCGTACCCATCGCCAACCTCGTCCCCAGTGCTTACTTTATTTCCAACCTGGTTTCCAATAGTAAACCCTGGATAGGAAACTTTCTTCCTGTATCCTGATTCGATACCGCAATTGGCTAGTAATGGATTTTTATCGTGTACCTGGTGTTATTATTCACAACGTGCAGTACGTGTTTTCACGATCATTTGTCCATGCCTTCTCGAAAATACTAATTTCCTTTCCAATATGGTCATATTAATATGAAATATGATACTGCATGTTGTTTCGATAAAATCGTAACAGTTTAATTTAAAAAAATCGTGTTTTTGTAACTCACGCCGTGCTCGCGCTGCGACGAATTGACTCTGTTTTTACCCCAGACACCGCATACAAAAACAAACGCTAATGTAACGCATATCCAGGCACCAGACTATTGCTCATTTGCATACGTGTTCAAAAATCTTGCACATGTATGCAAATGATCCAATACCAGGGTGAGAGAGCAGGTAGTGATGGGCGCGTACTGTTCGACACCCTGGGGACGAGGTTGACCCATCGCCTTTTCAAAGTCCGCTGTTGACCTCAACGTTTCTTTGAACTCTCATCTGATACAATAATATTTTATTTTGAGGTTGAAGAAAGAAATTGCCTGGAGCGGGGTTTAAACCTGCCAACTCCGGATTGCCGTTCCGGTGCTCTACCAACTGAGCTATCCATCCCCATAATGTTAGCGGTTCCACATTTCTGTCAATGTCCTTGTTCAAGGGGCGCTATAGTCCGAAGCAATAAACCCGTACATCATGTTGCCAGGGATCAGGCCCGAAGTCACGATGCTAGCAACATGGGCAATGTGCAAACCCGGGAAATAGCAAACGGGGATCACTCAGAGAGGAGACGGCCTCAAAGAAACCACATAGGCCTAAGGAAACTAGCTATGCGCATTATAATTATTTTATTAAAGTTGAAGAAAGAAATTGAATGGGGTAGGGTTTGAACCTGCGACATTTTAAGCCTATTGGCAAAATATTTCAAGCCTATACAGACAATTTATTTCTTTTCAATTTGACCCAAGAGCGAAATTTTGGCTCCTCGTGTATGTGGGGACGGTTATATCAAGAGCGCCACCACTTCGCACTTCATGGATAATTCACTGACAAGGTTGGAAGCATACAAAGATCATTGCCTTCACCTTTCATTCAATACGATATTATACGTTTCACGATAAATTTTTGATATTTTCTTTTTTATCTTACCTTGTTAAAGTTACCACCAGCACCGTCTGCACCGCCATGTAGTCTTCGCACAGTAGTTTCCCCGCTAATAGTTACCGAGATCACAGGCTTAGCAACTGGCTGATTTTCAACAGGTTTTTCCGCCATATCTTTATTGCTGACCTATTTTCACCGTACCTGCCTGAATTTTGGAGACTCAAAAGACCGAGAACAATCATGCATGTATACAACAGCTGGTCCTGCGTCAAAGTATTGTGTGATGTGCCTACGGCGTGTTTTTATGATCGAAAAAGGCATGCACGAATTATTGTAATGGCATATAGCCTATCAGGAATTTAATCAATGTTATGGCGCTGGCAGTGTGCACGTCACTTTGTACCCAGATTGGCGAGGTATTTATAGAACCGGTGTTTATGCCAGAGGTCTTCGTGTCGATTCCTAAGTAAACGAAACACTCCAAAGGTTCGGTTTCTGATTTCTGGTATGTCGGATACAGTGTCGGCGTGTCATGCTCTTAAAAAAGAGAGACAAAATCTGGCCATGACTTCAGGCAACACGTGCATCACGGACAAAACTAATTACAGCAATAATCTGCAACTGATTTTTTTCTAAATTTATTTTACTTTCAGTCCATAAAAAAAACTAAAAGGCAAAATGAACCAAAATAACTTCACATGTTGAATTGCATTCTTACTCCCCCATTCACGCGAGTTGCCGTATGGCCATGACCGAATGGAAGGTCAATGGTCAGTGACCGATGAAAACCTATCAAGCGCATATTTTATTTATTTATTTATTTATTTACTTCAACTTGTTTATACACGGTAACCCACTCAACCGAGGTTGTTTTTCAAGGGGCCGTGGTGCATAAAAACATGTAAAATTGTACAATACACAAAAATAAAATTAGTAATTAAATCATACATGTATATAAAAACAAACTGAAACGTTAAGTCGGTGTGCAAAAGCAAGAACAAAACTTAAAAACAAACAAACAAGAAACAAATAAATAAAACAGTATGACCTATTAAACAGATAAAATAAAATACACTTAGAAACCGAACAACTTAAGTACGCTTTATAGAGAGTTACTGTCAATTGGATGTCAAATTAAGGGTTGGACTGTACTGGTAGCCCGCCCGCTAGCCAAATGCTAGTCAACAGTACGAAGCCGAAAGTTCTCTGCAAGAAGTTTCAAAGTTCGTATACATAAATACTCGAATGCCTGCAATTGCTGTAAATCGTAATTTTGTCCATATACAGGGTGAGTAAAAAAACTGAAACCCAAATATCGGGACTATTGTTTTGTTGAAGTTCTGCAAATAACACTTTCAAAATCTAGGATATAAAAGCCCAATTCAGGCGCTTTCCTTTAGTACAAGAATCATTCAAATCACTTATGTACTTTTTAAGTTACGGAATTTTAAACACAACCACCGTTTTAAGGTTCTGTCCACGGATCACCAAAAAGGTTTGCGTTCTTTCAGCAAAACGAAAACAATTCACACACACACCCCCACATCCCTATATGGTTTGTTTTCGTTTTGCTGAAACACACTGAATTTTTTTGTGATCCGTGGACAGAACCTTAAAACGGTGGTTGTGTTTAAAATTCCGTAACTTGAAAAGTAAATAAGTGATTTGAATGATTCTTGTACTAAAAGAAAGCTTATGAATTGGGCTTTTATATCCTATATTTTAAAAATGCTGCATGCAGACCTTCCCTGAAACAACAATCCCAACATTTGGGTTTTGGTTTTTTTTTTACTCACCCTGTACAATGAAATAAGCAATGTTGGACACTGCTGTAGCTCTCCAACCTCACAGTAACATAGGACTTCACAGCCTCATCCAGTGTAGCATGTATCTTGCACACCCCTCAACCACCTCATGAGGTAAGAAGCAGTCAACATGACTGCCGAGCATACCAGTATTGTGTTGCACACCCGGGCCGTGCGAGCCTCAGTCTGGGTGGCAGCTCTCCGCTGGCGTCTCCTCAGATACAACTCGGTACAGTCGCTCAGCTTCATTTCCAGCTGCTATTATGGGAGGAGGGATGGAAGTATAACATCAGAATTTAATCCATAGCTCATCATTCAAAGGAGTTCCCTCAGACTACATCATGAACTTGAACTTGACCTAGTGTTCTTTACAGTGCATGGAAGTGAATTGTAGGGGACAGCGGGGTAAAACGGAGCCTCGGGTCAAACGGAACCCCTTGATATCTCAATGCTTCACCTCAAGTCCTTTTAACAATTAATTTGGAAAATATTGGCCTGATAAGTTCACGGATTGCCCTTTTTTTTTAACCTACCCGACATGTTTTATCTCAGAGAAAACGAATAAATGTATGCCTTTACTTATTGCATACTTCAGATCGAGAGCCAAATTCTCACTTCTTTTGTAGCATAGAACATGCATTATAAAACCAAATGGGGAGCATGTATAGCTTTAATCTTAATTACCTTACACCTTCAGGCCATGCTTACTGAACTGGGAAGTTTGATTCACCTGCAATCCCTGTTTGTCGTGGCTTACGCGTTGCAGATTATTTCAAAGTCATGTTCATAGCATAGGTCTGACACCTAATGATGCTTTGTTTACATTTGCGCTTTCCTATGTGGTAGACGGTCCCTACTTCGTCTGGAGTCCCGACTTCGTTCCCATAGGAAAGTGCATATAACAAAGCCATTACGTCATTAGGTCTTAGGGTTGCAACCCTGTATTAAAATTCTCATAGACACCAGTGCTAAATGCCCATACTCCAAAATTCTTTTTAAAACACTCAGAACTGTCGAATATAGAAAAATATTATTTTGAGGGTATAAGTTTTATTCATGTCTTGAGCTCGGCGGCTGGATTTAGGTCTATAGTATTATGTTTTCCCGGTCAATTTCATAAGATGTTCATTCACTTCTGAAAATCGGTCATTCAGCTTCGTCTGAATTTGAGAATCGCTCTGAACACGCGTTTCATTTTCGCTACCAGAGCATTCGATTCCATTTCAGTTCAATCAATAAGTGATTGAGCAGCACCTTGCGTTTATGCTACAAGACTTCTTTTTCGCTTTTAGAGGGCGATTTCAAACATTAACCATTCTATTTCACTTTTAGTTTAATGTTCTGTGATAATCTGCTATTTTGAATGAGAAAAACGTAATTTTGATTGCACATTCACGAAATTGTATTCCAGAATTCTGCGCGAAAAGGTATGCTTCCGTAAATGAATGCACAGGTAATTAACGTAATTGGCCGTCTGTTTCTCAAAACCGAATGCACAGACAATGAAAACATTGAACTTTCGTTGAATTAAAATGGGATTAAAGACATGCATTCAAATTCAGACGAAAATGAATTACCGATTTTCAGAAGTGAATGAACGTTTCAGGAAATTGGCCGGGAAAACCTATATTAACACAAAAATGGTTTACTTGTGCCTATCCAAGCAATACTTAAACCATTGCCCTCCTGACTCGTCCTCGACGCATAAGGCATATAAAGATGCGTAATTCATTACGTCGTTTAATTGAAGTCTTTTCTTTAAAGTCTGATCTTTGTGGACATTTTTGGAATTGTTTGAAGGACAAAACTAACAAAAACAACTTAATGTCACGTGCTATGTCTTTCGGGAGGCGCTAGATAACCGTCAGACGCATCCCTGATATGAAAGACATAATATAAAGGGTGTATCAAAAAAAGGTAATCCAAAAAAAAAGGGTTAGTTTGTATAAAAGTAATGAACTTTAGATATATCAATATAGTTTATTTCATAACTTCATAATGAAAACATATAAAGTACGTAACTTAATAGATAAACAAAACATAACAGTAAATGACAAAGATAAGTAACAAAGATAAATGCAAAGCAGAGAAGTTATAAGGAAGTTGTAAGAAGTCCAAGGACTTATGATGTCAACGTTGCTCGATCTTAAAGGGTAGTTCATTGGCTTTCCATCGATACCTTATTTGCATCTCTTCAGTCATGCATGGATGACTGAGCACCATTGATTTCAAAACAAAGGCCGAAAAACCTCTTTTGCCAAGTGGTGAGTTAAGCTGTCCACAGAATGCGCTGTCGTTATGGAAAGTGCGTTAAAAAGGGTATGCTGGAGATGTTGCTGCTTAACATGGTACATGTTGTCCATAATAATTAATCATTCCAAAGATTTTGTTTTTCATCACAAACTATAGAAATCCAACTTTAAAAAAATCGCTTGCAATGAACATATAACCAGAAGCATGACAAGTTGGGCCGACGCCAAAGCTATATATGTTTTGAGTGCATTCATGCATAAAACACTTATTAATTTAATGAGTGAACAAAAAAAAATCAAATTATTGATTTCATCATAAAACATGATATTCCATTGATGCTCAAACGCTTTCAACATGTCTTTCTCCGCCATTCAACACATAATCAACTGCAAGTGCGTACTTTCTGGACAGCTCAATTCACCACTGAGTCAAGGCAAACTTGAAAAAAGTAGGTGCTTGGCCTTGTGATGATAAACAAAATCTATACGGAACGATCAATCATTCATGGACAACATTATTATGTACCGTTTTTTTGCACCAACATCTCTAACATACCCCCTTTAGCGCACTGTCCACCTCAACAGCGCGATCACCCGACAGCTGAATTGACCACTTAAATTCAGCAAACTTGGAAACAGGGGTTTGTGGCCTTTGTTTTGAAATCCATGGTGCTTGCTCATCCGTGATTGAAGAGATGCAAATAAGGTATCAATGCAAAACTAATGAAATACCTTTTAAGATGGAGAGACATAATTTTTTCAAGTTCACAACTGGCATATTAGCCAATTGTTTTTTTTATTATAGGATCATTTGCATTTATCCCAAAAGTAACCTATCGAATTATTATCAAAAAGCTTGAACATTAATTCTTCTTTGGATGTTGATTGGAAAAACGAGCAAATGCATAAAAAGCAAATGGTTCCACAATATACTTTTAAAGTACAACATTTGCTTTTGCTGCAATTTTCAGAAATAAATGGATTTGGAGGATTAGGCCAAAAAAAGCTCCGGTTTCTGGTATGCGCGCTCGTCGCCGTAGCCATGCGCGTCGGCAAAATGAAAAAGTTTTTTTTTTCAATGAAAGATGATGTCTCAAAACCGCCAAACTCACTGGTTTGACTGGAATCCTGCTGCTGCACAATTTTAACGTGTTTTTAGATGGGGTTACGATCGAGTATAAGCATTATATGGCCTCTCTGGACTCCCATATATTTGCACTAAATTTAGTTGGGCACCATTTGCAGTCATCAGCCGACATTTGAAGCAAAAAAAAACAGGTAAAAAAAAAACAAAAAACGCGTCGCCGCACCACTTTTTGGGCAAGCTCCATACCAGAAACCGGAGACCTTTTTTTTTGGCCTTAGAATGCTATAGGAAATATTGTTAAACTGACTTGTTTCACATTTTGGGCTTGTAGATGTTGGAAAAACCAAGAAAACCAATCATGTTCTTGGAGTCCGGTTCCCTGACCCCACTTAAGATGAAACGGAGCAATTTGTAGACTTTGGGGAATTGTAAGGTTAGAGAATCAGTCTAGCAGGCTTGTATCTCTTCACAGGTGTGTGATCAGTTGCGAAGAAAATGCGAAATAACTAAATATGAAAACTTAGGAGCAGTTTTTGAAACTAAGCCAGTTTTCTCCAACGCTGGTCGGCCGACCAGCGTTGGAAAAATACATTTTTACTTGAAAATGTCAGCACACCAGGAGCCACAATTTTACAGGACGCTTTAGACTGTCATTCCCTAACAATCCAGTAAGGTATTTCGTGATAATTTGATCATTTCGTTTTGTTTTTTTCGTATGCAAATGTTGTATCTTCCCTTTAAAACTTTATTTGTGACGGTACAAGATATATGAGTATCTCACCCTGAGTCTATCCTGCAATGCAAGGATGCCTTCCTTGATGTCTCTCTCTGCAAGCACCTTGGCTGTAATCTCGTCTAGTGTCTGTTCAGCCGTCACTGGCTCCGTGCCTGCTTTGCCATTATTTGCGGTACTCTCGGCAGAACACGTCTCCTTCATGCAAGTACCAAATTATATTGCCTTAATATATCAAGATTGTGTAAAAGTGTACAACACGTACATGTATATGCCTACACGGACTGCACCCCATCGCAAATTAAAATACGAGGAAAATCATATTCCTGTAATTATCATGTGAATTAAAGGTAATTGAATTGATTTCATTGTCCATTATTGCAATGTGCATGCTATAATTATTTCCGCAGGTTTAAAACCACTTTCTTAAAGTGGTACTAATACTAAATACTATTGGTTTTCACATGTAGTTTGTACTTCGTAGTACTACAGACAATACAAAGTAGTAAGTACAGACATGATGCACAACCTTCGGCAAGTACAATATTGTACATAATATTTTATAAATCATCAGATACCGTAATTAAGGCCACAGATTTAATCGACGAGTTGTCTTAAAATAATTAATGTGCTCTTAGCCAATCACGAAAAACAAACAGAGTACATTTGTATATGTTTATTTATCACATATCCAAAGCAAGCGAAACTCACCATGTTTACAACCGCATAGTCGCACACGAAGAAGAGAGGTCAACAGTTCTTTTGCCCAGTTAAACAATAAGCTATAGGCCTACAGACGAAATTTCTGTAACTATAAATCTCTTCACACATAGTACATTCAACGAGGCGGGGTTAATACAATAAGGTGGTGTGGTGCAATTGATATTTCGGAGAAATGAGCCCACGAAGTGAGAAAAACTATGACAATTCTAGGTCTTTACTGATCGACTCCGCAGTGCCAGCAATGATGTCACGCGTATGCATGGTGTGAATTTCACCAACTGCACACACGGTTTGAATTTTTAATCCTGCTTGCAAAACAAAACAAAATGGCTTGGTTAATTAATGTCTCGGCGGGGTGTTTGGATGGCCTTTATTCCAGCCTGTCTAGGTCCTGTGACGTACAGATCTGATAAATAGCCCGCTGGTTAGAAATTGCTAAACGGTCCTATTTGAACATCTGCGTTGGTTCCCACGGACCTTGAGCTATTAATGTGCTGCATCAGAGCACGGGTTTTACATTCATAGCGTCCGCGGTCGCTTGCCGTAATTTAAAATAAACATAAAATTCATTCTTACAGCCTTAGACCTACATGAATGGTCAATTGACACTTGTTTGGAAGGACGACCTGACTGACAATGCTTGTACCACCTTTGCCAAGCATCATCGAGAATGCAAACCTCGAAACAGAGCTTAAAAAAAACCATACAGGAGCATATGGTCATGCCTCTAAAAGTTGATGCATTTCATCATGCACAGACACAAACACAAGCTCTTAAAGGGGTCACGGCATGAATGTTACTTCGGAACCTATATATTGTACAACTTTCTACTCCTCTTAAAAAGTACGCAAACTATTTGGCATCCCTTTTTGGTTAAATGTTTTGAAAACTGCACTTCTTTAAACTTTTTTTTAAAATCATGCTTTTCCAGACAACTGAGGGCGCTGTTGCTGTGACGTCATTTCAGGAAGACACTGTTCATTTTGAGGGGTTCTCTGTTCAAATTGTGAACCCAAACATTTCCCAGGGGCGTAGCACGGGTGGGGGGGGGGGGGGGGAGGCTGGTACCATTTATCGATGGGGGCGCTGTTCAAAACCGACAATTATGCACACAAAAGGACAATATATGGTGCTTTTCAGCGCGATACATGTGCGAAATTCTGAAAAGGCACCCAAAACGGCAGATGCCACCAAAAAGGGCACCACTTCTTTTTTGAAAAGGGCACTTGTTCAGAAAAAAAGGGCACTTCGTAAAAAAGGGCACTCTTTACAAATTATTGGGGGGGGGGGGGCTGGGGGTAAGCCCGTTGAAAAAAGGGCATTTGAATGGAAAAAGGCAGTCTTTACAAAATATTGAGGGGGGCGGGGGAAATACCCCCCCCCCTGGCTACGCCTATGTTTCCTCATTGAAAACATTTCTGAGAAAAGTGTGCTCATTGGCGCACTGTTATACTGACACAACAAGGATTCGCCAAAGAAAATTTACCACAGCAAAATATCCAAAATTCTGGCGACTTTTGATGCTGAAATAGCTGTCACATTGAGGTTTCCGCCTAAAATGTCATCACACTTTTGCTCATGATTATGGACATGCGCATTAGCATAAAAAAAAGGCACCAAAGTACCCTTGAAAATGTCCAAACGAAAATTGAAAATATATAGTTAAATGGGACACAAAAGTGCTTTTCAAGGATTGTCTTCAAAAAATTACATTACATGGCCTTTAAGTCATCAAGTACGGGGAAGAACGTGGCCTGGGGCGTTAGCAACCGTAACACCTATTATGGACAAGGCATATCCGCGACTAGCCCTACTGGTACGGGATGGGTAAATGGGTGCTTTTTGTGCTGAAATAGCCACGTAACATTAATCATATGCCCGGAATGACATCAAAGTTTTGCTCATAAATATGGAACTTTCCATTAGCATAAAAACGGAGAAGGCACCAAAAACACCCTTCAAAATGGAAAAATAAACTTGAAAATGAGGTTAAATGTGACACAAAGATGTATTTTTAAGTTTTGCATTGAAAAATTACTTTGCATGGGCCCTTTAAATGTTCTGTCAGACATACGCAAGAAAACATTTAAGAAATTACCCAAGAGAAGTGTTCCCGATGGTACAATCATTGCCAAACACATGCCCCGATGTCTTGCACGTCAAGAAATCTTCAATGTTGAGGTGCCTCTTGCTCAAACTTTTAAACAAGTAGAAAAGATCGACAGTGAAAAAAAAGTATCTTAGCCCTTTTCATTGAGTGGTCGGGCACAACCCGACCACTCTTTGGATTTGTTGCGATTAATCTTTCTTTCTTTCTTTCTTTTTTTTTCCGGACAATACTTCTCCGCGGGTTTTCTCTTAAACGGTTTATGGTATGAACTTGTAACTTTCAATATTTATCTACCCTCATCCAAAGTGGTGCATATTACTCTGACGTCATGATTACGTCATCAGGTGTCAAATTACAAGTGATTTTATCTGAAAAAGTGACCAATTACTTTCACCCATAACTCTTGAACCAAACAATCAATGATGTTTGTATTCTGTAATCAGATAGACCATTAATCGCTTAACATTTTTTGTCATTTACGTGAACTCGCTTGACCTTTACTTTCGGGTCTACCGGAAGGTCAAAGTTAGGTGAATTCAAAATGAAGACGTTAGCCGGACATCAAAACAAAGCAACATTTCTTCCAAACGGTTCACGGCATGATCACAAAACCTTGTGTGAACTTGTCCCATGTTACAAAGATGTTATAAATTTTGTTACGTCATCATGACGTCATCAGGTATCAAATTACAAGCGATTTAAGGGCAAATTTTGACAAAATAGTTTGCGTTATATCTTTTGAACTAAATAGAGTATCGTGTTCGTTTTTTCGTGAGGTTGTAGACTATGCCGTGAGAAACATTTATTGTTCCCGGACACAAAACCGCTTGACCTTTACTTCCGGTGTTACCGGAAGTGCAATAAAAACTGAATATAACTCAAAAGCGGAAACATTTTACCACAGACATATATATTATGCAAGTGTTTAGTGAGAAATGCAAGTCATAAAAAAACTGTGATGACGTCATTCATCCGAAAGGGCGCCACTAGCGGCACATAAAATAGTGTTTATTTTCTTTAATCTGAAGACCATCGGTTCCAATTTTACCAAATCGCCCCTTGATATTCTTTGATTAACCACAGATAACTTGGCAAGGTTTCAAATTCATGTCGTCTTCAGACCGGAAGTTACGTCTATGAGAATTTGAAAACGATCATGTTATAAATTGAATGCTATCATTTGATCCATGTCGTATATCTTCGTAGCCCAAATAGCGATATCCATAAAAATGTGAACCTTTTGCTTCCAAATACTAGTGACGTCATCAAACCGGTGGTTAGGTGTTATAAATACATACAATTATATTTTTCATATTTCCGTACGTTAATTATCTTCACAATAAACATTTATCCACTCCGAACTAAATCAGTTTTCACTTCCCGTTTTTTTTTTTAATAATGACGTCATCAAACCAGAAATAACTCGTATGTGTACATAAAATGTCTACGGAAATTTATCACACCTTTAAAGATGCATTTTTTTAAGCAAAATAATTCATTGTGATGAAAAGGATTTAATTTCGTGATCCTTTGTTATTGCATAAACATATTCATAACTTAACTCGGCAGTTTTTTATGAAAAAAATTGCCTGCCCGACCACTCTGCGTTTGTAACAACAAACGCGAACCTCTAGTTTCATTATTTTTTGGTACATCTTGTGTCCCTCATACCAGTTAATTTGTTACATTTTAAATTTTACAGTCACCAAGATTTTTTGGGGGAAATTAACCTCGGAGGAAAATAGAAGAATATATCAATTAAAAATCTCATTAAATTATTTGAATGACCAAACGATGAAAGTGATTGCCCATAAATGAATGAGAAACGAAAAGCATGGTAATACGCTATAAGCGCACCGACGTTCGCTAATTTGAATGCGTCAACCGTCAAAAGGTTGCAAAGACTTAATTTATGAACTCTACAAATAATTCTTGAATGCACCAAACGAAATAGAATGCCCCCGAAACGAAAACGAACATTCAGAGCAAAATCTTGGCTGCCTAAAAATGAAATCGAATTTCCCCCAAATGAAAAAGAAACCCCAATTTGATCACACGTGTAAAAATCACGCGAAATGGAATGGCTGATAATGAAAATGATTAGAAAAATTCGGAAATTGGCCGGGAAAACCTATAGTGCTTTAACATCTGTTTAGCATTAGTTATTTCATTTCTGGACTATATGCATGAATAACTAAAAGGTATAGTAATAAAAGCATGAACGTTGTGTATTTTGTGGGTTTTTTTGTCTGAAAGTTTTGTCTCACTTTTTTCCCCAGCCAAATCACTCCATAGTCATCCTCGGGCCAACTTCTAAGCTTAAGGCCAAAAAAAAAAAGTCTCCGGTTTCTGGTATGCGCGCGCGTCGCAGTAGCCATGCGC